TTTATATATAAGAACATGCTTACACTTTATTACAGTCTAATTCTGGATTCCTTGACTTGAGTCTTCTTTTAAACTCATGCACACAGAGCTATAAGCAGCTATAAGCAGAATTACAACGGTGATGTGAGACATTTTAATGTGCAACCACATGCTGACTGAAATGTGTGACAGGAAACCCAAAATCAGCATTCACTGGTACACAAACCTCACAGAGATCACTGGGTGAAGGTGGCTGCTACTGCGCTCGTTTACAGCTCTGTATTTATAGACTGTCAGATAGTTATGTTACACTGGGCCTTTGTGCAGCCCTCAGCTGTACGAATTAAGCTTTTAGCATTTTAGCTCCTCACCCTTGAGCTAGCTTCTCCTGACTGGCTGATCCTTCCAAACAGGTTTGAACAGCCAGAGGTGTGCGCCTTAGATGACCACATTAAAGGTATCAGCTCCCACTGACATCATCCAGAGACAAAGTTTAAAAAGAAGTTTTAAATGAACATCTTCTGGTACGACACTATAAATGTCAGGAAAAGCGTAAAAGAGTCACTTAACTTTGTCTATAAGGAAATAAGTGTTGTAATAAAGTGTTGGAGCTTGTTACTACTGGAGTTTTGTGCACAGGCAGATCATCAGTGAACTGCTGACCATTTGTAGTGATCACCTTCTACATGTTGTTGTTGTTCCCAAGGACTTCAAGTGCTGTGCTGGGTGATGGAGGGATCAGGCCTGCGGCTACAATTCTTCGCTCGCTCATTAGGAAGTTGAAGGTTGCACACGCGTTTGGCTGCAAATCAGAATAAATGAATGAAAAAAGACATAAAAGAAGACAATAAGAAGTATTCCAGTGTCTGTTAGCTCATGCCATGCTGTCAGAAAGAGAACAGGATCACTTGTATTTTACCGTGTCCTGCACCTCCACAGAGATGCCTTTACTCTTCAGAAGTGCGAGCACCGAGGGGTTGATTCGTTCCAGTCGTGCGCCTGTGCCCAGCACGAGAATCTCTTCACAAACCAGGAAGAACAGACAATGAGGCAGATAACATTAACAATAACATTTCAGTGGACACATAGAAGAGAGTGGACACTCTGGCAAGGACATTAATGTACCTCACTCAGTGGAACACAAATGATTCTCATGTACAAAGACTGAGCTGAAACAGACTGAGCTGAAACAGACTGAGCGCGCTCGCTGCCCGACTGTTAAAACAGGCAGACACATGAACAGACGTTTGCCAAAAGACAAGCGACTGTGCCAACAGTGTGGTGGAGCCATTATACAAACGGAGCTGCACTTTCTCACTGCCACTGCTCAGTTCCTCACACTTTCACAAGTCCACATACAGAGTGTTGGTGGTGCTGACTAATGAGCCAGAGCAGACTTTCAAGACGGGAACCATGACAGATAACCCAGCAAATGCTTTGGTTTTTTTAATAACTGTGGACCAACTCACTTTTCTCAGTATTTAGTTTTGGTTAAAAACTAGCTTAGAAAAAACAAACAAACAAAGAAAACATGTGCTAGTTCTGCTTTGACACTGTTGGTCATAACATTTTAATTCAAAGCCTTCATGATGCAGATGGTTTAACAGGTCCGGTCCTCGATTGGTTTTCATCACAATAATGAATCTTACCTTACAATACAAAGTGACCTGAGTCAACTGTTGTCGTTGTTGACTGTAGAAATAAAATTGAATTGTACTGAATCACACCTCCAAAAAAAACTCCAAAAGTAAAAATTAATCAGGGGTTCCTCAGGGGTCTGCCCTTGGTTCTTTACCTCTTTAACCTTTAAATGTTCCTGTATGGTTCCATCTTTAAAGAAGACAGAATATATATTCTTATGCAGATGATACATGGTTCTACCTATCATTTCACATTGATGATCATTTTACTCTGAAAAATTACTGGATGTTTAGAACATTTTAGAACTAAGCAGAACAGACACAGATATTTGTTGTTGGTTCAGAAAGTCAGAGACAGAAGATTTGTTCACATGAATCAACTCTGTCTCTGAAAGACCTCAAACAAGTCAGAAACCATGGCATCATTTTGCAGTGAACTCAGCTTTGATAATCAAGGTTACCAGAACTGCTTTGTACCACTTAAAAAACTCATCTTTAACTGAATCTGTGAAATCGGTCCATACTTTCATATCAAGCAAGTTAGATTATTGTAATGTTCAATTTGCAGAATTGACAAAATCATCAGTCATCTGTTTAAAGGTCTGCTTTAGTGCGTATATTGGTACCTATTTTTGGTTCAAGCATGTGGAAGAGTGAAACACTTTCTTCTGTGATATCTTTCGAACTTCCAATCTGCAGAGAGAGAAAACACACACATATATAGTTGTTAAAATAAACTACAAAAAAAAAAAGAAAAAAAAGAGAGAATTTCATAAACTTTCACAAACTGCAAGGACAGACTGGAAAGCACTTTCACCTTCCACTGCAGGATAGCAGGAGGCAGCACGGCACAAGGCCCATACACCCTGTTTCCATCGATATTGAATCCTGCAGAGCTGTAGCTGTGGACGAGGACCCCATTGTCTACATCCTTCTGCATGACAGAGACTGTGGTGCGCTGGTACAACTCGTCATCGGAGGGTTCCAGTCTATGAGCTCGGGACAAAAATGGGCTAAAGAAAGACAACAAGACCCCCACAGTAAGTTAGAACCAGAACCATAAACAGTAGCAATTGTTTTCTATAGTACTGAAAAACTGTGGGTGTGAAACAGATAGAAATCTTTGCACTTTGAATTTCAAAAAACAGGCTGCACCACGGAGCTGCTGCCCAACGGCCCACTTTACACGCCAACCCACTGATAAGGATGTGAGCCAAAAGCTTTAGGCCTCGTTCTGCAAGCCAGGAGCCAAAATATCTGCTCGTCTAAGGAGCTGCAGCAAATGTTAGCCTGCTGTCACACTTTCTTTCCAGGCTATTCCAGAAAACTGAGCTAGATCAGCACTTCTTTGATTCTGAGCTTCTCTGGTCAGATGGAGTCTCACCAGCGGCTTTTAGCAGTGCGACTGGCAATATAAGCCCGGGAAACAGCATGTATGACAGGTAGGTATGAGATAGTAGTAGATTAGAGGTCTGCTGCCTCTGTTGTGTGGAGTGGAGCGGGTGTGGTGGGTTGTCCACGTGCAGTTTCTTCAGTGACCTCCTGTCGCTCAGTGACTCAGACAGCTCCAGATTCTGACCAATGATGGTTCCAGCCTTGTGAATTTGTTTGTTGGTCCTGCTGGCATATCTGGCACTAATGCTGCCAGCAGACAACAGGCTAAGAGAAGAGCTCCAGCATTCTGTTGCACAAATTGATCGTACCCTTCTTGCACAAAACATCAGTGTTGGTCCTCCATATGATGAACAAACGCAATAAATAAATAAGAATAATCTCAAATTTAAACCTGGATGAACTGCAGTTTAGGTTGATCTAAATTTCCCCATCAGCTGCATAGTTACACTCAAATCAAGTGGCTTTATTGTCATTTCAATCATGTGTAGTGGTACAATACACAGTGAAGCGAGACAACGTTCCTCCAAGACCATGGTGGTACATATAACAGACAATCAATACATGATTACATAAAGTGCAAGTGTGCAAAAATTGCAAAAAAAAAACAAAACAAAGACAGTGCAACACCACCATCATCACATCCCAAAAGTGCTCTAATGGACTGAGATCTGGTAACTGTGATGTTTAAATGATGCTCAGCTGGTACTAGGTGGCCAAAAGTATGCCAGGTTCGACATACTGTGTACTTACAGATGCCTTTCTGCATGCCTCGGCTGCAGTAAGTGGTTATTTGATTTACTGCTGCCTTTCTGTCAACCACAAAGTTGGCCATTCTCCTACAATTCTCCTGCAACCTCTGACAAAAAGAAGGGATTTTCATCCAGAGAACTGCTAGTCAGAGGATTTTTTTTTCTGGACTGTTCTTTGCAAACCTTAGAAACGGCTGTGTGGAAAAATCCCAGTAGACCAGCAGTTTCTGAAATATTCAGACTAGCCTGACAATCTGACATCAAGTCACATTTCCTCGCCATTATAGTGCTCAGGTTCAGGCTTCATGCTGTGTAACTATAAAATATGCTGCCCTGTGATACCATATCAAAGGGTCCTATAAAGCAGTCAGTTCATTCATGACATAAGCTTGCATAATTTCTATTACCTTTTTTTAAAAAAAATCATTTTAGGCATGACAAACATTAAGCCGCTAAGCTTCTTTAATATAAGGATATGATCTTTTACCTTATATATCACAGTCAAATTAGATTTAGATGGTTTGCGGGATAAAAAAAAAAAAAAACTTCTTAAAGAAACTTGGTGACTACTTGGTGTTGAACAACTAATAATAGTCAAAACAATAGCAGGTTGTATGCTCATAAATACTTTGACAATGTAAGTTAATGAAACGTGAGCCTTAAAACGAAACACCGCCCTACCTCCTGAAAGCGGGCACCGCTCTGGAGGAGAACAGAAAGCCCTGGGTTGATTTCTGAAGGAGAAATCTGGCAAAAACCGCAGCAGTGGCCATGTTAACAGAGAAATGGAGAAATGACCCAACCGGTGGCAGGCTGGGGGGCATAACACAGTGTAACACCAGGCACTCGTTTCCGGTGCTGTGTAATGCAAAGTCGAACATCTTTCATTTATTCCTTTTTTGTTTATTCTTTAAAAAAAACATCGCGTTATCTTGTTTACATCACGCATTTAAGTTAATCAGATGCACAATAATAATAATAATAATAATAATAATACGTACTGAAGGAAAAAAAAGGGGAGAGGGCGAAATTAACGGGATAACGGCTAACAGTTGGTTACATACGCATGGAGGTAACTCTTACGTAAAAGTATAGATATTAAAATATTAATGTCATTTTTATTTCCGTTTTTGTCGCCTATATGTCGGGTGTTATCCGTATTTAGCTGAAATTTCAATGAAGTTGATATAAAATAAAATACTAAGTCAGCTCTGTCTTTGATTAAAATGTCTGGGGGGCGTGTTCGGTGGGATGTGACAGCGCCCTCCTACGGTGTTTACGGTAACAGTCGGGTCAGATGATCCGAGCTGCATTGTAAATAGACATGCCTTCGTAGCCGCTTTAAATCATCCCCAGCAAAGCAGATTTCGGCACTCGGGCACTGCTTATCTCCAGATAACCCTTCTCTGTCGTTATCGGGTCGTTTCGCTGTCTTAAAGTGTCATTAAAGTATGTACCGGTCTTTGTACGCCTTCCGATCCTCGGAGCCCAACTCGCTGCACTTCGCGGCCGGAGAAAGCTTTTTAATCCTGGAGAGGAGCAACAAACACTGGTGGCTGGGGTCCCACTGCAGCTCGGGGGAAACCGGCTACATCCCCGCCTCGTATATCGAAAAAATCCAGGTAAAAACAATGTTTGCAATGCTCACTTTCCCTCTTTGGTTTCAGTGAATGGCATCAGTGACCGAGCTGCACCCTGGGGTGACGTGAAATCCAGGGAATGCGTAGTAAAGCGGCTGAATTGATGCGATCAGACGGATTCAGTGTACCGCTATATGTGCTGCAGTGCAAGCCATGTTGAGGGTGTCAGGGTGGGGGAATGCATGCTTGCGAAATAATAAGCCATAAATTATTGCAAAGGTTGCAGTATGGAGGGACATGGGGTGGCTTTTTTTCTTCCTGCACTGCAGTTGCTGACTGCGACAGAGAGGAGCTTGCAGGAGGATGGGACAGGAAAAGAGTCAGGAAAGGATGCAATATAAGAGGATGACAAGGGGAAATACTGAGTAAGGATGAGAGATAGAGCAGATTCAAGGCCACCACCTCTGCCACACAGAGCCATTGTTTCTGCTCAGATGAACTAATCTCCTCCTGTGACTGTGTATCATTTTCCTTTTCTGCTCTCTCATTGTTTTCAAAAGTAGCTGTTCCTTCCACATAACTTTGATTCCCTCTCAGTCACACCCAGATGAGCTCAGCAGTCTCCAGACTCATAGTGAACTAGTCAGAGCATGTTATTTAAAAGAAAAAAAAGTGTCTCACAGGAGAGGAGCGCTGACTGTAATTAATGACATTGGCCTGAATGTGCAGCCTCAGTGAGCATGTGTGACTCTGGTTAAAAGGCTGTTTATGTTAGATAACCGTCCCAGTTTGTCTCACCCTCAGAGCCATATGGCTTGCCCGGTTTTGATCATTTTGTATGCCACTTAATATTTCATTGAGTTTATCCCCCGCCTCTCTCTCTCAGGCTCCAGAGCAGGATGAGGTACTGCAGTCCATCGACAGAGCGATCGAAGGAATCCACAATGTGGCCTTAAAGAATGGAGGCAAATACAATCTGGAGCAGCGGGATGTTCTGCAGTGAGTGAAGCTCTTTATGGAGATGGTGCAGCTCAGTGTTTCTCTGTGTGCTGTGTTTGAATCGCTGCCCTCCTCTGTCGCAGAAAGCTCATCCATCACAGAAAGGAGACCCTCGCTCGGCGAAGTTCGTCCTCCGCCAGTCACAAACAGGGCCTCCCATCTTCCAGCAGTGAGATATCGCTCAGTCAAACCCCTCCTCCACCCAATGGCCTTAGCAGAGACTATCAGCGACAGGGAAGCGTGCCGTTATCAGGAAGCATGGACAGTATGCAAGGACAACAGGGTTTTTATCAGGTAACAAGCAGGTGCAGTTTTTCTTACCTCATGCTCCAATTAATCTGTTAATATAAATGTGAATTATTAACATGAAAAAGCCTCAGTGCATGCAAGAGGTGCAGGGCATGGCAATCAATCTGATATATACATATAAATATTATTGTTTATTGTTGTCTGCTCAGCTGTGATGCTGCTCTGGTGCATGTGCTGCGAAAAAGGAGTTTAAAGAGTGGAGTCAGAGCCGCTCTGTACCTGTCGGGTCGCATTTCTAAACAATGTTCTGAAAAAAAATGAAGAAAAGTTTCATGCTGGTGTTTGTGTATCATGCAGCACTGTGCAAAAGTCTTGAGCCACTCCTCATTTCTTTATATTTTGCTTTCAAGATGTCAGACGAAGTTTTTTTAAGTGGTCTTAAGCAATAGTTCTCCAGGCTTTCTAAAGGTCTTTTAGAGTTTCTCTTTGAACATTTGCTGGTTTTTTTAACTTATTTTTAGTTCAATCCTTTTACCTGTAACCTGACTGTGAATCATTCAGGCATACAAAAGGCACCTAACTCACAGGATGAACCACCGTTGTGTCTACATATAACAGACAACACAGGAAAGAACCAGTTAGTGTGTACTTAATAAATATGAGGAAACTGGACAGGTGAAGAATAAAAGAGGAAGTGTCAGGTATTAAAAAAATCTATCTACAGCTGATGAACAGTATCTGAAAGTCATGGCCAACAGAAATGCAGCAAAGACCTGGCACAGTACCTGAACAATGCATCTGGCTCTGCAGTTGATCCATCAAAAATCAGTGGCAACAGCGGAGGGAGCGATGAATCCAAATTCAGACTCAACATTACTGAAGCTGTGTGCGATCACTTTGACAGAATCAAATAAAAGGCAGCCAAAAAGAGCTCTGAATGTCCTTCAAGAAGCCTGGAGAACTATTCCTGAAGACTGCTTAAAGAAACTAGAAGAAAGTTTGACTAAGAGAGTTCAGGCTGTGCTGAAGAGGCGGCTGTGGCTCAGGACGTAGAGCAGGTCTTGTGCTAATAGGAAGGCCGGTGGTTCAGTCTGCATGCCAGATATCCTTGGGCAAGATACTGACCCTGAGTTGCTCTGTAATGCCTTCATGGGAGTATGAATTTGTGTGAATGTCAGACAGAAAGCACTTAACTGTAGAAAAAAGTGCTTGTATGAATGGGTCTGTGAGGCATGTTGTATAAAGCAGTTTGAGAAACTTGCTGTATTAGAACCATGATACCAAATATTGACTTTCAGGTGCATTTCAAGCACATAACGAATGAGGCGTTCCTCAAGACTTTTTGCATTATAATGCGTGTCCCAGTACTGATCTATTTGTGAAAGGCGATGATATTAGCCGGAGTGTAAATGAGTTTTCATGAAGCTCAGACAACAGGTTGATCTGCTCATTGGTTCCTCCACAGCGTGACCTGCTTTCAGTGTCTGTCTTGATTTTATACACAACATTTTTTTAACCCAACAATTTTTTATTATTTTTGTTAGTATAATTGTAAGTACACTTGGTCGTCTTTGTGATTGTGCCATTAATCTTTTTTAATATGTGCTGTTCAGGTTTCACAAGGGACCTGAAATGTGGGAGCTTTGTTTGTGAGCCCTTTTTTTTTTTTTTTTTTGCTACTAGTTGGTAATTACTGTGACCCATAATTATTTTGTAACAATAGACAACACGTTAATACCAATAAACCGCATTAGTTACTTATTTTTATCATTCCTGCTCCTTTTCTCACGCAGTGCTTCACCATCTGTTCATGGATAGACTTTGCTGTAAACACATTTTTTGTGAGGCATGTCTGCATGTGGCAGCAAAGATGAGCAGCAACGTGAATCTGGATCTTTCTCCTCTGTGAAGAAAAGATGAAATGTTAATTTGAGAATAAGAATAATCTGTGCACAAAAGAAAATATCACCGCATCAAAAAACACATTTTTTTAATATCTAATTTTATAGAAAAATAGGAACGCGAATGCATTTTTTCTGTGGATATTTTTGAGTGTTTGATGAGATTATTTTATCTTAAAAAGATTAGTTCTCTGAGTTCAATGTTAATGCTGAGCTGTGGAAGTTAAATCTCCATCAGCCAGCTGTGCTCCTCCTGGACCGCGAGATGACATGTTTGTTGTCTCCGTCCCTTCCATCAGGTGCCACCTCAGGCCCGGCGTGCTGCTCCGATCACTCCGCCTCCCCCTGAAAAGCAGAGGAACCACCGGCGTCCAGGTGACTTTAAGCCTTGCACTCGTCACCTAAAAACAGATTACGCTCTCAGTGTTTTCGCTCCTGCAGCTCTATTCTTAGTCATTCCTGTTTGCGCTCTCCTTTCTGTAACTGGAGCTCTCTTCCTCTCTCTCAGCAGAGCCAGAGGTCCCCTCCAGAGTGTCCTCTCTTCCCTCGTCCCCTGCTCCCTCCCTCTCGATCAGCACCACCTCCATAGACACGGGCTCCTCCCTCTCTCCGATCTCCTCTGAAGTCAGTCTGCCAAGTATTTCCAGCACCCCTCCTCCTCCTGTGCCGTCCCGTGTCAAGCCCCCCGGGCCGCCTCCGGACCTGCTGCCCTCTGACTCGTCTCCTCAGCCGGCTCCTGCAAAGAAAAGCCCCGCACCGCAGCCCCCCCAGCCTACCCCACCCTCCCAGCGCAGCACCCCTCCACAGCCTGCTGCTCCTGCTTCTCCTGCTGCTCCTGCTGCTCCTGCTGCTGAGGAGGACCAGCGGGAGCCTGAGTGGCCCGTCGCCCCCCCGTCTGTTGCTGAAAACCCTCCTGGCAGCTCCTCGACCTCTGAGGTGGTTCCCATGACCATTGGAGCTGAACTGATCGAGCTGGTGCGAAAGAACACGGGCTTGAGCTACGAGCTGTCGCGGGTCGCCGTCGGCGTGGTGGTCGCCCATCTGCAGACCACTTTGCCGCAGGCCTCCCCCGCTTTGGAGCAAGTCCTCGTCTCGTTGGTGGAGAGCAAGGTCAGATTTGTTTTCATCACATGGCGTGGCTCCAGCACACTGGCGCCCAGCCAGTTTAAGAGCAGAACGCCGGAGTCGTTTAGAGTTTCAGCTCCCGCTGCATTTAGCAGCGAGGGCAGTTCACACAGGATCACTCACACATCTTTAGATACAAGCGTCACGCTTTTCTGTTTCCACTGCTGTCAGGTGGAGATTGTGGTGGAGTGGGTAATGTGACCCCAAATCCCAGTAGATGCCAACTTGTGGCTCCATCCTGTGTTTACACGCTGACATGTGTGCACACATCCTGTCGAAGAGCTCGAATAGTCTGCGGTCTCATCAGGTTGTTTTAATATGTAAAACACTCAACTTAGAAGAAGAAGTTCAAACAAAATCAAAATTAGAGTCAGCCACAGTGTTAAACAGCCTGCCTTGTGTTGCTATGGCAACTTCGAACTCTCAGGACGTGAGTAGGGTGCTGTCCTGTGGTGTTTGGCAGCAGATCAGCTGGACTCAAGGGGGTGGAGCCTTCGTGGGTCTGGTTTGTTCTACTCCATGGCTTTGATTGTGATCCTGATTGGGAATTCCAGAAAGCAGGTTTAACAAACTCTGAATCAAACATTTAAATCTGAGATGGGAAACTTGAGTTCTCACTTCCAGAAAATCTTATCAGTCAACTCAGAGTATGTTCACCCCGAGTTAAGCACATGCAGGATTCACCATGGCAACAGGTAGATGAAGAGCGTCCAATAGAATCCAGTGGAATGTTAATTTGTGCCGATGCGGACCGTGATGAAGAAAGAGCAGGGGCAGAGAAATGATTCAGTGTCAACGCCCAACTTAAATGTTCATGATAGAAGTATTAAAGCCTCGGATATCATTATTCAGCTGAGAGGGACGAAGAACGTGGCAGATGAGACGCAGCTCATGTACCTTTGAAATCAGGAAGACTGATTTTGGTGATTTGTAGTGGAAAGGATCTTAGGGTTTAAAGTAAATATTGTTAGATTTTTTTTTTATTGTTCTCAACAGCGTTTAAAATTTTTTCTTCCAGCCTGTCATCTGTTTTATGATGAAATGCTGCCACAAAGGTTCAGACCACCTGCAGCCTGGATTCAAAGTCCCACTTTAAACCACATTTCTTCCCATTTTAGAGTCTCAGCGCATCAGTGCACAGTCTTGACTCAAATATTTATATAAATTGTTAGCTCAGAGTTAAGTCTCATACTGTGTTTAAAAAAATCAAATTTCACTAAACCTGCTTCCTGGACCAGGACTCGCGCCAGTGCCATTACCACGGGGGGGATGGGGGTCAGTGCTGGTAAAATCCAGATAAATACCAGTTTAATTTTGTGGCTCATCAGTTCATGCTGGCTTTAATGCTTTCTTAATGAACTGCGGAGGACAGCCTCTTTATAAAACAACCGTCAATGTGCCCAGCTGTGCTGCCCGCACACATCCAAGATCTTCATCGACTTCATTGGATTCTTCCTTTATGGGTCACCACATCAGGTCATCTGCCTTCCTATCATCCTCCTCTGGCACACCACTGCTCTGCACGTCCTCCTTCGCTGCATCCATGAATCTTTTCTGAGGTCTTCTTCTTTTCTTCAGTGTCTTTTGTATCCATCTCAGCCTTGCCTCCAAACCGCTCGACCTGAGCCGTCCCTCCAATGGACTCGTTTCTAATCCCGCTTAACCTCCAATGAAAATCTTTCAACTCAGCCACCTCTAGCTCGGCCCTGTGTGTTTCCGTTAGCGCACATCCAAGATGATTAACACAAACACCAAGAAAAAAACTCTGGTCTTCACCTTTAAAGCTGCTCTGATAAATGTTTTTATATTTAAGGATGACATAACTAATAATTGTTTGGAGATACGTAATAGTGATGGTTTTCTTTATGTTACAGCAGCAGTGGGGAATAGTTTTTTATTTGGGTGTTTTTAGTCAAAGAGTTCCAGTAAATTCTTTGCTCGTGTGTCTCTGATCAAAAGGAAGAAGGAGGCTTCTCTTTGGAAGGTTTCAAACGCAGTGAAACGATTAGAAAATAAATGTTTTTCTCTCTTCATGGAGACAAGAACATAGAAACATGAGAGCAAAAGCCAGGTGACCTGAAATACAACTCCAGCCATCCACTAAACAGAAAACAAAAGTGTTGTTTCGTCTGTCCTTTAGTGTGAGCCTGTGTGTTCGCTGTAACGGGTTAAACAAACGCAGGCGTGTGCTGATGTTTCTTATCCGTCCCTGTAGGACCTGAGTGCGGCGCTGCCGCAGGGCCAGGTGTGTCACGATGAACAGCGGCTGGAGGTGATCTTCAGCGACCTCGCCCGTCACCGGGACGACTCCCAGCAGCGTAGCTGGGCGCTTCATGAAGATCACGCTCTCATCGCCTGCTACCTCGAGGAGCTGCTGAAGATACTGGTATGCGTTTCTGTTAAATATGCCAACGGGATTCATTTATAAAACTGTAACAAGCAAGAAGAAGAAGAAGAGCAAACATCCAAGGAAACTGGAAGGAAGTGGATTTAGGTCAGGAGAGGGAAGCTTTTCAATGTGTTTTTACATACCTAGTAGACAGGACTGATCTGTTGTTATGATTGTGATGTGAACATTTCCTCTGATAAGCCTGTGATGCGAACCTAGGACGCGTCCAGATGTTGTGTAGTAAATACCAGACGCGTCTGATGGGATCAGAGCGGCTCAGACGGCTCCCAAATCCAGCGACGCACTTAAAGACTGAATCTGGAACCGCTTCAGGCTGCTGAATGAGCTTTGTTGGCAGTTTGTGCTGAGCCACAGTGGGATGCCCAGATGAGCTGTTAATGGCGCTCCTGCGATGTGTGGGAGTCTGATTGTTTGGGGATTATGAAGTTTCATTGTTATGTAATGTGACTGCCTTTGCTTTGTGTCCTCAGACCGATGCAGATCCAGAGGTGTGTAAGAGGATGTGCAAGGCCAACGACTTTGAGAACGTGCTGTCCCTGGTTTCCTATTATCAGATGGTGAGATGTGATGTGAACACAACAAAGGATTTGATGTTTGACTCAAATAAAAATAAAGCATCAACCGTAAAATGTCGCGATGCCTCAGAAAGAACTGCGGCAAATATTGTGTGTTTGATATTTTTCATATTTTTGGTAAGAAGTTACACTGAATGTCATCATTTTGGGCTTTTAATTATTTATTTAAACTCTCCTTTTACCAGGATGGAATGATTGTACAGCATACATCTTTAATGGCTTTAAAAAACAAGAACTGGGTTCAACAAGTTTGGATTTATTTTGTATTTTCTCTGAAGGTCAAAAGTATAGATACACATCTGTAATCTTTTAATAAGTAGTGCTGAAGGTCCTACAGTGCTTTTTAACTTGCAAAGACCAAGGCCTCATAACGTGATTGTATCATGACTGATACGACTGGTAGTTTCTCTTTGCCTGCGTAAAAATTGATTCGTTTGACAGCGTTCGCTGGATTAACTCAGAACAACGGGAAAACCTTCTAGAGAAACGTTTGATGATCAGCTGTCAAACATGGTGGTGGTAGCATCACGCTCTGGACTGTTTTGTTTCCAGTGGTATTGGTACATTGCATAAAGTGGATGGAATAACGAAGGAGGACAATATGTCTGTGAAGGTTCTCAGTCATCCAGGTCATCGTAGTCAAAGGAGCTTGCAAAGAAAAGCGTCTGGACTTCTTTAAGTTGCTTGAAGACGTTTCACCTCTCATCCGAGAAGCTTCTTCAGTTCGAGAAGAAGGAGGACAACTACCTCCAAATTCTTCAACTTCACCTCAAATCAACAGCTAGATGACTGAAACTTGGACACAACCGGGTTTTCGGACAGGACACTGATCGCTGGTTTTGGCTAAAACAGGCTAGAATTAGTCATGTGGAAAAGCTTCTCAAAGGCCTGACCATAACCCTATTAATCATTTGCTGCACCTAAAAGTTGAGCCCATGCCAGGAACCAACCAGTTTAAATGAACTTTATCAATTCTTCCAAGAAGAAGAGCCCAGAGTTGTTCCAGAAGCTTTTTGATGGCTTCCAAAAGTGTCCGGTCTGTGCTGTACAATCATCTGACTCTGGACAAACAGTTCAAAGAAACTATTAAAAGCCCAAAATCAGCACGATGTTCGTGTTTGTGTAGTTGGATATCTGTGTGAAGCATCTGTCAGAGCCGCCCTTGTTCAGCCTGGCTGACCTCAGTCAGAGCTTTACTGTTGTTGTGCATGTTGTGTGGTGATCCGGTCTCGTTGTCGCCTTCGTGCAGGAGCACCGTGTGTCTTTGCGGCTGTTGCTGCTCAAAGTTTTTGGGGCGATGTGCAGCCTGGATGCTGCTCTCATCTCCGCCCTTCTCAACTCCATCCTCCCCATGGAGCTGGCAAGAGATCTTCAGACTGACACACAAGGTGAAAATGTCACTCATTGCAGTTCCTCTTGTTTTATAGTTCAGTTAAAAGTTACCCACGTTTGTCTGATTCACTCTTTTTTTTTAATGTTTTTCCTTCAGAACACCAGAAGATGTGCTACACAGCTTTGCTGCTAACTATGATATTCTCAATGGGAGAGCAGGTTCCATATCATCACTACGGTATGTCTGCTCTCTCATCATTGGATGAATCTGCTGTGTGACACAAAGCAGTGCTTTGAGTTCAGCTTCCTGGCTGTGCTTTTGTCATCATTTCCAGCACATTATGAGAGGCTTATTCAAGCTAAACACATCAAGAAGTTTGACACGTGTGATTTAAAAGCTCAGCCTAAAGGCTATTGTGTGCAAGTGCTGCGAGATCGATCAACTTCAGACCAGACAACAAACGACGGAGGCTCCGGAAAAGTGCAATCAAACGATGAGTTTTATTATCACAGGAGAACAACCAACCATCAGCATACGGATTGTTTTGCTCTGACAAGAATACCTGGGTTCTGGTTTTATAGGGTAAATATCACACCTACGTCAATACAGTTCAAAATACATGGTGACAGACGGGCAAAGTTCAACCCGTGCAGACAGGGTAATACGTACACTTATAATAACCATACACCGACATATAACTTCCCTTTTCTACATTACTTGCCTTTTAGGGTAATAACTTCAGGTCTCAGCATCTCTGAGAGCTAATAATGGACCCTCGTCATTAATCACTAAGTAGAGTACTTTGCAGCCAGTCTCAAAGAAGCAGAAGACGCTTAGGCCTTCGCTCAGACCTGCTACTAGATTAATATGTGTATCGTAAGCGTGCATGCAATTAACCTGCTATGTTCTCATCTCCCCTCAGCATGTATCATCTGGACACTCTCACCAGTGAAGCTTAAAACCTTCTAGAATGGAACATCAACTTAACAAGCACATTTATGCATTGTGTATAGAATGAACTCAACCTGTAAAAATAGAAAGGTCAATGTGATGACAGACATATTCAATGCAATATAAACCCTGTAGGAAATATTACTGATAAATGATACTGTAAAACATGTTATTAATACATTCTTCATAAGGCAAATTATATGGTAGCAATAAAAGAATCTCTGAATCCCAACATTCCCTCTTTTGACATTCCAACAGGAATGTCACCATACTTCATGTTGTATCACTCTAATAAAAAACACTGGACTCTTCCTGCTTGCAGAACACTTGAATGCCGAGTTTGTTCAGTTTCTGCTGGGTGTGGTGGAGGACGGGCATCCCTCTGATCCCACAGAGCAGCTGCCTGACATCTTCCTGAACCTCGTGCTTTCCTTCAACCTGCACCACACAGGTGAGAACGGCCTCCACAGATGCCTTTATCAGCGTTTTTGTACAAATCATAGCAGGAACCTGAAGGAGTTGGTTTTATTTGTAATTATAACAAATGGAGCAAGGCCATAATTTCAGTGTTCTCTGGATCATTTTTACCTTGAAATGGGTTTACGTAGAAAGAAGTTTAATAGTTGTGCTGCTTGATTGTGTCAAGCTCCCAGCAACAACGTGATCATGAACGAACTGAAGCAGAAAAACGTCAAGATCCTCTCAGAGAAAGTGCTGCTGCTCCTGAACAGAGGCGGTAAAAGAAACTATTTTTGGGAGCGTCCTCACTTTATCCTTCATAAATATTCTTCATGCGTCTTCTTTTTTTTTTACATTTTTCATGTCCTTTCCCGCCCCCAGACGACCCCGTGTGCATGTTCAAACACACTCCGCCTGCACCGCACTCGGTGCTCAAGTTCCTGCAGGATGTTTTCGCCAGCCGAGAGACTGCCGACATCTTCTACCGCACCGACATGATGGTGATGATCGACATCGCTGTTCGACAGATATCTGACCTTTCACCTGGTGACAAGGTGGGACACTGAAAGCTGCTGATGTAATTAAGTTGCTGATAAGGAAGTGGGCTTTAGTGGGCCACTGTGGCTCTGGAAAGAGAGAGAGGGGTGATTCTGTTGTTTGCTTGTTTGGGTTACGGGATTCAAAGGCAAAACGTTTAAGTCAAACTGTCAAACAAAAGGAGGAAATCATATTTCATGGATGCATTGCATCCATATTTGTCAGGCACATGATTATTTTTTCTCCTTGTCCCTCCCTGTGAAGCTGCGGATGGAGTATCTCTCCCTCATGCACTCCATAATGCGCTCGACGGACTACCTCGAGCACCGGCACCGCCTGTCGGATCTGCAGGGGACGCTGCAGAGGATTCTCAGGGAGGAAGAAGATCCCGGCGAGGATGAAGGGAGCGCTACGGCGAAACAGATGGATAAGCTGATCGTGCAGCAGATCTACAAGGAGTTCCCACAGATCTGCGAGAACCAGGACTAACCGGTGCCAGTATCACAAACTGTAGTCTGCTCCCAGCTACTGCGGCGAGGTACGGTAAAGATTAAAAGAGGAAGAGCGGACGTTTGAAGACGACTCGTACCCCGCGCCGGCCCGTGCTGAGAGAAGCCGGTGTTTACTCCAGTGCTGCAGCGTGCGTGGGATGCTGAGTGTTATTTGAATAATGAGTGTGTGAGAGTGTGTGAGTGTTTAAGAAGGAAGAAATCTGACAAATGCACAAAAGGTTTGTGCCATATTTGGTGAATTAGTAAGTGGCCAATCCTTGAAGCTCATCTCAAAGCGAATCCTTAGCAATAATGTCCTTGTGAAGCTTACGTGGACTAACTGCATGCACCTAAAAGTATTGTTGAAATTAACTGACTAATAACCACAGGTAAACTCTATTCTAACCAAACTGACTGCAGTTTACAGATTTATAGCAGGAAGGCAAATCAGTGCTTACGTTAGATGATTTGAGGCCACAGCTTCAGCGTGGAGAGAAAGCTTTGAACCTTTACGTGCTTCCCTTTTAGTGGGACCAAACTACTGTGTGTTACTGACAGCGATATTTTCTCCACAGGTCACCGCACTCTTAAAACTGACTTCCTCTTTTATTCATATCCTCCATCCTAATTTAAGACGAGTAGAACAACTTGAGCAAGTTTACTTCTCTGGCGAGAAAAGCACAGTCTGACTCGCGCGTTGCCGATACTAAGCTTTTTGCTGATTAAGCTGCCGCTGCTTATTATCGAGTCTCTTCTCGCTCTGGTACTTTCCTCACAGCTTTTCGCTCTGTACCTGCAAAAGCGAAGCTCCTCAAGCATCACGCCTCATCGACCGTTTACAGCTTCTGTGCTGCAGTAAAGCAAAATTCTGACAACTGGCTTGTGAGCTGTGGCAGGAGTGTTATTACATTATCAGTGTTGTTGATTTCCAGCTTCTCATGTTCATACTTAAAGTCAAGAAGAAGAACTGTAATGCAGGACATTTATTTGATCTCACTGTGGTTTAAATACTTTCATACCTTCCCCCTGATTGTTTTTTTTTCCCCCTCCTCTCAACACTGTAGTGATGATGTTGTTCATTATTATCTGATTTTTAATCTCTGGCATTGCTTCTCCTGACACGATCCAGAGGTGATATCAGACGTTTAGTGTGAGTGTTTCATTCTCTGGTTGACTGTGTGTGTCTCTTTACGGTGTATGTGCGTTCCTTTGTGCGCGTGCGAGTGGTGAACGTCTCCATGATTCACTTTGTCTGCAAATGTGCTGCGGCTGTGTTATAATGAAACTAATAAAGCTCTATTTTAACAGTGAACTGTATTTTTGAGAGTGTGATTGCGGGGCAGAATATCCTCATTCACAGTCTTCACTGCACTAACGACACAACAAATGTTGAAGTCAGATTTGGCTGTTTGTTTGTTTTATTCAGAGTTCAGAATCATTTAATTATTGTATTTGTTTTATATTTATTGTATTCAATTTATTTTAAACATTATTGCACAACTAAGGTGTTGGAAACATTGCTCTGAGATGTTGGTCCATACTGACATGACGGCATCGCAGAGTTGCTGCAGATTTGTCAGCTACACATCAGTGGTGAGACTCTCCCGTTCCATCACATCCTCAAGGTGCTCTGTTGGATGCATCTGGTGGCCATTTGAAAACAGTGAAATATTCATGTTCAAGAAACCAGTTTGAGATGATTTGAGCTTTGCGGCATGATGATCGTGGTAGAAGCAGCCACTGGATGATGGGAACACTGGGGTGACAGAAGGATGGATATGGTCAGTAACAATACCAAGCCAGGCTGTGGTGTTTAAACGATGCTCAGTTGGCACAAAGGGATCCAAAATGTGCAAAGAACATTTTCCCTACACCGTTACAGCTTTTATGCTTTCATTATATTCTGACCCAACCGTCTGAATGTTGCAGCAGAAATCAAAACTCATTAGACTCATTAGACATTTTTCCAATCTTCTATTGTCCAGTTTTAGTCAGCCTGTGTGAACTGTAGGCCGGTTGGTGGTGAGGTAACTAAGTAGGACAGATCAAAAGACACGCTGGAAGAAAAGAGAGCGAGAGGTGGCCACACTCTGTTTCTTCCCCATTCTCACGCTCTGTTTGAACTTCAGCAGGTCATTTTGATCATGCCCACAGGCATAAATGGACTGAGTTGCAGCCATGTGATTGGCTGATTAGATAGTTGAATTACGGAGCATCTGAACACTTGTACCTAATGAAGTGGCAGGTGAGTACACTTAGAAAACACATTTACCATGTTTGAGACTCCAACACTTCTCACTTCACTGAAATACAAGACAAGTGTATCATCTTTGATCCATCAGTTTTTGAGACTTCTACATCATCAATGTAAAAAAAATGAAACAAAGTGTACATTTATAATACATTTTTTAAGGAATAAATAGCAAACATTACACTCAAATTTTGTCAGAAGATTCCTTAAACACTTTTTAAGCCATGTTCTGACAATTATTTCTTTAAAGGGTTACAAAGATGTCAGGAGCTTGAATACTAAACGGCAGAGGGCAGGAGTACTTGTGTGCATCGAGTAGTCAGTCTGATAAAAACCAGTAGAAGAAGAATGCTCACCATTTCCGCCGGACAACAAACAGAAACGCACAGGAGTGCAGCAGTGTTGCAGTCAGATCGGTCCGGGTAAAGTGGGTCAAAGGTCCAGCAGACCGGAGCGGCTTCAGCTCTCGCAGATATCCGTCTCTCTCCCTTAGGAAAGCCCGAGCAGGTGAGGTGTTAGCGGCTGGCTCCGGCACCTCTGTGTTTCCTCTGCGCTTCATTCATTCCGCTTTCCTTCCTGCAGACTGTAAACATGTCCAAGCAGCCGCAGCCGATCAGCCCGCTGAAGAACTTCTTCGCTGGAGGCTTTGGAGGGGTTTGCCTGGTCTTCGCCGGACACCCACTGGACACGATCAAAGTAAACAATAAACAGCTGCGTGGGTTTATTTGCCACCGTGCTGTGCATGTATTAGACACACAGCAAGGGTGTGAGGTGTATGGGACACTTTGTGCAGGCCTCGGGGGTGTTAGTGAAACACAACCGTGAGTTCAGTGTGAGTGTTTCTGCAGCTCAGAGATTACCTTTGACCCACTTTCAGGCTGTGAAGTGACTCGGCTCACCTGGATACATGCAGGAGGGCTGTCACTGCGTCAGACACTCAAGATCAGATCAATACTGCTGATAATTCAATCAAGCCTGTGTGCTGTCCAGTTTCAGCCTGCATGAAGTCATGGCTTATCCTTGCAAAGACTGCTGAAACAAAGTCCTGTGGTGTTTGGCTATAATGCACCACACCATGTTACAAACAAGGCACAAACACCACATAGCACCTGTCAGCACGGTGGTGGAGGGTTAAAGTTTTGGTGTAAGCTACGTCATAAATAAAGCTTTAGCTCGTATGATGGGCTGATGTCGCGTGCGAACCGTGAACATCTCCATAAATCAGTAACAGCCCACCTGCATGCTTCCAGGTGAGCTGAGTCACTTCACAGCTTGAAAGTGGGTCAAAGGTCATCTCTGAGCTGCAGAAACACTCTTGCGCCCTTTAATTGGATAAGTGGTTCCTGCAACGGTATTGCTGTCACCTCACAGTAGGTGAAGGTGCTGGGTTTGAAGCCTGGCTGTGTGGAATTTCCTCCAAGAGCTCAGCTCCTGAAGACATGCATGTTAGGTTAATTAGTGATTCTGCACTGGCCATGGAGGGGAAGTAGATAAATTGCTTAAAGTGTATAGAACAAGGTGATGTTAACATGTGACTTGTAGTCTAGAGACTAGAAAAGCGCTATATAAATGGGAGTGCGCTACATTACAAAATGGATTATCAGTTAAAATCAAAAAAAGTAATGCGTACATATCTAACATTCAGATTCTGATATGAATGAAAAATCTCAAGCTGCCCTAAACTTGCATTTAAATTCAGTGGAAACAGCCTGTATGTAAAGTGTGTAGAAAAAAAATTCCACCCATTGCATGTCCTCTGTTATGCTGTAAATATTTTGGGTGTACATCATCTCTTTCATAAAATACATGTTTTCAGGTAAAATGGGTCCTTAGGGAAGTTCCTTTCTACTCCAACATGCTATTTTTGGCTGCTCCTTTATTCACGAGGGGCCGTCACAGCAGGTAGCTTTACATGTTTGGCTTGGAGGCGTTCACTGTCGCAGGCAGAGAAGGGGGGTACACATGGGACAGGTTGTCGCAGGGGTAACACATTCACACCTATGGGCAGTTTAGAGTATCCCGGTAACCAAACATGCATGTTTTGGGGAGGAAAAGACCCCACACCCCCTCTTGTTCAAGAGTGCACACCACAGCACTACCCTGTCCCAAGTGTTTTTACCAAACAATCACACACAGACTGAGATGGAGTCCTCAGGGGTAATTCGGGCTTCTTGCCCAAGAATAATTTGACAAGCAGTCGAGGAGAGCCACAAATATACAAATTAGACTTAATTCACATAACCTCTTTCTGTAAAGATATGAAAATAACCAATCACTAAAAAGCAAAACCTTTCATTATATATGCCGTCACCGCGCAGAAGGTGACGTATTTGTCAATAACCTTCTGAAGTAGGGCTGTGCGATATGACCAAAATCTCATATCCCGATATAAGACATCTATCGTTCGATAACGATATAAATCACAAAAATGTAACATTTTCTGTAAATTCTGTGAATCTCGGGCAGCTCGACTTGCGGGAAGTGTTTCCAGCTGCGCGTCATGTAGCTGGAGTCGAGTGTTTTAACCGATGCATGAAACGATACATTTTTAGACATAAGTTGTAACAGCCGCTGTTTTCTTTGTATTTATTACACAGCGTGCTGCGGGGAAAAGCCTGTTCTAATGTTTGAGTCTAAGGTTTATTTTTTAGCACCTGGCGGCTCTTTTTTAAATTCTCATCCGTAAATAATCTGCTCTTTCACGTGATTCAGTTTATTTTGAAAAGTCTCAACAGGATCTTGGGCTTTATTGTGAAAGGTTTATGTGGACCATAAACAAGCGGATTGTTGCTAACCACAACGCATAAAAACAGGTGCTTGTCTGTCCATAGTGTGGTTATATAAAATATAAGAAAGAACTTTACGAAATTAATATAGCCACTACAGTGACCATCAAAACAATGAAAAAATATTGCCGTAAACAGTTTATTTTGCGACACCACGAAACAAACCATAGCATAAAATGAAACAATAGAGTTCCGATAGATATATGAACAGCCCTATTCTGAAGTCTCTTCCAACTATGAGGTCCATGTTCCCTGTTCTGTAGAAAGGCAGGTCAAAGGCAGGGTTTCACTTGTTTCACTTGATAAATGACATCTTAGATTATTAAGAATGGTTTTGTAAACAGGAGACACTGGAGTTGTTTTGGGGGGTTTCTCTCAGGGTGGCGTCCACCCGACCTCCCCGTACAGGATAGAGTGATGGGATCTGAAACTGTTTCCAGTGTTAAATCCAAGTCCTGAGATTGTGATACCCAGCAGAGCTCTGGCAGCAGCGTGCATGCAGATTACATTTGCATATTCAAAAACTGGTCAAACCTGCTGCTAAACCAGAGCAGCTGCTTTTTTTCTAAAACGAAACCCAACTGAGCTTTCAGCTTCCTCATCAGTTCCTTTTAAAGTAAACCAGGCAATTTTAATATTTCAGCTCCCGTTATCATCACGATAGTAAACCAGCACATCTAAGTTACCTGGGGTTTGGTGGTGTTTAGTGTTAAATGCCTTTAGTTAAATGATAAGTCTAATCAGACCCTTTTTAAATAGCTAAAATAATCAGATTTGAAGTTAGGCAGGGCTTTTTCACTAGAGGGCGCTGTTCCAGCTGAGTGCACAGTGTCAAACTGCAGCCAGGTGAAGAATATGACGTGAAACTACTATGAATGAATCGATTTTTTTTTTTAAAGAAAAGTAAACTGTTTTGATTGTTAATCATCTTTTCAGGTTCTGAAGTGCGCCCTGATCATGATACATGTTACACAAGTGATTTCATTGTTATCTTGGTCAGTGTGTCGTACTGATAGTTACTCTGTGATTCCCACCTTTTTCTTCCACTCATGCTCTTGAGCAGACAGTATAAGGAGGTTCAGAGGAAGACAGAGGTCCTTTCTAGTGCTCAGATTTGCAAAGGAGGCTACAGAAATATTTATAAATAAAGCAGATGCACACCTTAACACATGAGCGAAGAAACGACATGAAAGGAGAAGGTCGATGAGAAGTGTAAAGTCAGTCAATGACCAGCTACATGTAAATCTGTTGTGTACTTTGTGTATCTGGTGGTCG